AGAAGAGAAGAGAAGAGAAGAGAAGAGAAGAGAAGAGAAGAGAAGAGAAGAGAAGAGAAGAGAAGAGAAGAGAAGAGAAGAGAAGAGAAGAGAAGGTCCTGAAAGGTCCGAAGTTTTGCTCTGTGAAGTACATCACCCTGTCAGTTTTAAGAGAGAAGATGGACCACCCTCATGGGAGCAGACACCCTTGCAGGTGCTACCCTGTGCTGGGGCTGAGATGAGATGCTGACAGCACCAATTGCTGAGATTTCAGCTTGTTTGAACTTTCTGGTCATCCTCAGTTTGGTTGTTTGGAAGAATGACAGTTGACTCAACTGAAGATGTGACTTAGACCACCAGTTCCTTTTGCATAGGCACTGATCGGAATACTAAAAGGATCATAAAGCCCACAGTGAATGTATGTCATTCCGGAGTAAAGCGTTCTCTTCCCTAGGTGTCTAGTGCACACAGAGGTGATTTCTATTAAAAAGGAATCGTGTTGCAATTCTATATTTCTTACTTTTTTATTTTTTTGGTAGGTTATAAATTTATTAGATTTTCAAAGTAAAAGTTGCACAAAAACTGAGACAGGATCAGGTAGCAGCATGTTTCAAATTTTCAAATTTAAAAGTTTGTAAAAGGAAAGGCATACCACCAGCACCACGGAGGCTTTGAAGGAGAATCATCTGAACTCCCCATTCACTTTGCTTCCTATGGAGTACTCCTGGAGAATTCTTTCAAATCAAATTAACATGGAAAAAAATGCCCTCTAGGAGCATATTCAATGCTTTCCAGTGGTTAATGTTCATTCAGTCCATGGGAGCAGACKGCAGCTAGTCCAAATTAATAACTTTTTATAGGTCGCTTGTAATCGCAGGGTGTGTTGATACAGCTTGTAATTGAGGCTAAATAGTGTAATGGGAAAATAAATATCCATAATACAGTGTTTCAAGGTTCTAATAAATATTGGTGGGTTGGATGGTAAATTAAATTAACATACATACTGAAGATGTGATGAGTGTGTTGAAGGGCTTATGGTTGGACTCGATGGTGTTGAAGGTCTTTTCCAACCATAATGATTCTGTGATTCTATGATTCTATATGAGGAGAAAGTACTTTCAGAAGGGTATTGATGGATGTTGAACTTAACCTAGAACTGCCTAAGGGAAATTAATTTTAGGATATAGCTTTGTAATGTATGTTTGTCATGATTACACAAGTAAATAAAGTAATATAAAAATCTCTTTCTGAGAATATATCGTGCATCTCTACTCAAATGTGTACAAAGATATTATATAGAAATTATACTGAGAAAGCATATATATGGAGAAATTGGAAATACTTGCTATGCAACAGATCTGTAGGATTAAAGAAAAGTAGAGAATTCTACAAGATGACTGCAAAACGGACATTGTCTTTCTCTAAAGTAATTCTTAGTAGGTAATACTTAGTTAAAAACTGCATATTTACATACCTGTATTTTTATGTTTGTGCTACTCTGTGTAATCAATTCCTTTATTATACAGTCATTTTACAGAAATATGCCATAGTGAAAAGATGAAAATAAACCACTTGTTTGTGTGTATAAAAAGGAGGCAATTTACACATGTAAAATGTGTAAATCAAAATTAATTCAGTTTTCAGGCAAAGCTGTATGAACAGATACTACCATATTTTGCTTCAKTAAGCARCATGCATCRAATTTACTTACTTGGACTTCTCAGTGCACTAAACCTTTTTATTATTAAAACTGCAACACTAATGTATTAGGTGCTTGCCAGATTGCACATCGGTGCCTTTAAAAGCCTTCTCAGTGATCTCTTAAAAAAAAGTTTAGTGCTTTATAAAAACTGAGAAAGGAAAACCAGACAAGTAGTGAGAACATCCCATATCAGAGTCTGTAAAATGGATATGTCTTCTCTATCTGATATTAACAGTAGAATGTGCAGTGGTTACCAGCCTATGAATCAACAGAAAGGTCATTTTATTCTGTATTGTTTGCATGTGCCTCTTTAAGCCACATGTTAAGGAAATTAAAATTTACGTTGTGCCTTTCTTTGGTCTACAGCGCCTTGCTAAAGAAGCTGAAAAGTATCAAGCATCACATCAGTGGAGGGATGAGTTTGGGGTAAGTTTCACTCTTTCTCCTTTCTCCTTTCATCTTCTCAGAATTTTCCTCTTTGAAATGGTAACTGTGTTTTTAAAATATACTGTTTATAAATCCATCACAAAAGGAATCATTGCCTGTGCATGTGTGTTTTTCTTTACTGGGCAAACAAAGATTCAGGCTGTGTCTGTGGTGAATAAAGTGGTTTTCCCCTTCATAAACTCCCGTCGAGCTTCACAGGCTCAGTGATGTAGCTCTGAGGTGCACCCAGGACATCTGTTTGTTTTGAGATGTAAGGAGTAATTACAGAGAAGACATCTGAGTGATAGCTACTATCAGTAAAATGTGTGTGCTCCTCCAAGCCCTGCAACATGGAGTCAGAGAATTGATTTTTAACAAGTTTTCAGTTTATGTGGTGGGGGAAAAAAAGAAAAAAAAAAAAAAAGGTTTTGTATACCTTCATGATGACATATAGTAAAGACAAGGGAGATCGTTGCAAAATATGCAACATTAATTCTGTGATTTTGCTCAAGTCAAATAAATACTATTCTGCATGACTGTAAGTCTCTTGGCTTTAGGCAACAGTTCTCTACTAAGTGTCAAAAACATTTATTATGTCTTCATTACCTGTTCTTTCAGAAATAAAAGCAGGTGGTATTTTTATGTGTTGCTGTAACACACCTAGACTCTGCCTGCACATATACTGGAATAATACAGGCACACAAATAAACACACAGTTGTTGATTTTTGTTTTTATTTTTGGGATGTTCCATGTTCCTCAGACACTATGACATGGAGATCTGCAGAAACCCTCCTGAGGTCAGGTCCCATTCGGATGGAAGTGGCAGCTCGTGGGAGTGCAGAGATGGTCTGGGCGCTGCCAAGGGGTTTTTTAAATGTGATCTATGCACAGGCACGGCTTCTAATCCGTGCTAAAACACAGGATGCCTGTTCCATAGGGATGCAGGAATCAGAATGTTGAAGCAACCTATTCTACTAAGAAAAAAATAGCCTGCAGTTTTGATGTGCTGTGCAGAACAGCCTGAATATTATCAGATACTCCTTATAATGATTTATTTTCCGCTAATGTAAACCCTGGCATCACATAACAACACCGTCCCTATTCCAGGGACTGTCCCAATCACTGTTTGATTTTCCTTTTGCCCTTTCCTCACTCAGACCAGAGACACTTTTGGTCTCATCAGAATTCATTGCCAAGGAGAGAACTTAAAGTAATTTTGATATGTGATTTTATATTAATGTGTGTGGCTCAGGCAATGACTGTGGTTAGAATGAAAAAAGAGTGCAGTTAGATTTATAATAAAGTAACTGCAAACCAAGCTTGTGCCTGACTGTTTTGAATTTGGATGAGAACACTATATAGTATGTAATAACCTTGACATTAGGTTATGCAATTAAATTTCAAATAAATGTATTAAGCTTCTTATAATTTAATTTGTTCCATTTTTGCCAGAAGTAATCTTCCTTCCATTCTGGCCTACTTTTTAGAAAATGCCTGTTCAAATTAGTTTGCACACAGATCTTTCCGATAAACTTAATTTTCACTGGAAGATTCATTCTCCTAATGGCTGGCAAGGAAAATAGAAGATGTACCAGAAAGCTTCCTGCGGTTGCTGGTTCTTAATGTACTCCTGGTAGCGTTATAAATGGTCTGCGATCATGTTGCATGAGGCTTATTTCTTTTCCAGGCGTGGTTTTGGGGTGATGAAAGCCCTTCAAGCTCTATTGCTTGTGAGTCATAAGAGAAAGACATTTTTGGGGACAGCCTGTTTCGGTTTCTAATTAGTTCACAAGCAGCAATCAATGTCCTTGACARTCAGATTGCAGCACAGTGATCGCCTATGGAGTTTTAGGGAGAAAATATCACAAACAAGAGAAAAAGAGAAAAAAACACAAAGGTTCTTTCTAGGGAATTCTATACTGGCTTGCTCGAGTGCAAGGCATGTGGAAGAGAAAGGGCAAAGAACATGAGYACTGAGTCCTACAAGGGCTCAGTTAATCAGAAAACTGTGAGAATGCCACTGCTAACAGGTTCTTCTGAGTGTGAATGTTTCTGCATGAGTCCACAGATTGCAGACTAAAAAAAAAAAAAAATTGCAAGATTTTACTCTGCAGGTTAGAGTTAGAGTGTAACCAAAATTCCCCATCCTCACATGATAACATGTTTTTTAATAATCTACTATGGGAAAAAAAGGTAAAAAAAAACAGATTTGATGCTGCAGTCACACTTTTGTTAACTTATTAACTTTTGTTAATACAGTGTATAATTTCATTTTGTCAGAATTTGCATTGTTAAGGGGAACAGTAATGTTAAGGATACTTTTTTTTTTTTTTTTTACATTGCAAAATGAGATAATCTGTATGATTCTTGTAGCAAAAAAAAAAGTTGAAACTGTGCTAATAGAAACAGAACTTCATGTCTATATATAAAAAAAAATCCTCCTAGTTTCAAGAATTGCCTCCTATTTCAAGAAGAGTAAGCAAACAAAAAAAAATGAAAATATAAATAAAGGAAGCTTTTAAGACTTTTATGTGCTTTTAATTTTAGGTATGTTATTATGTTCATAAACACAGAAAATAAAAATAGTAATTAAGATACAAATCTCCAATATAAGTTTGAACCTGAGAAAGTTGCTGAACCAATCAACTTGCTGAAAAGAGAGTATCTTATGTTAGTAATGTTAATCCTCTTTCTGTTCTGTGGTTATCAACTTGTATATTTTTCTAAATACACAAATTCAGTTTGGGGGCTATATCCCTCTGTGTGTGTGTCGTATTATATATAGTTAGATATATGTCATATATACCTAATCATGTACACACACTTTTAAAAATAAATGAAGGCTGTTGAATATATGTTGAGTGTCTTGAAACTGAAAGAAAATCAAAATCTAAAAAAACTTAAGAGAGTGTGTTTTAGATTTTTACCTTATTTTGAGAGTAACAAAATAGAGATTATAGTCTATTTTGCTGTTTTGCATCAGCAAATATCAAAATAATTTTGCTGAGGCAATAATTATTACAAAAAGTGCAAAATAATAGAGAGAAGTATTAAGGATATGGAATATTTTCTGCATTAAGAATAAAAAAAAATTAACATTGTTTTTTAAAATGTATTTTCTGATTAAAGGCAATTCCAATTAAAATATGGGATCCATGGTTTGCATCTAAAGACACTAAAATAATACTTATCTGTTACAAAACATTAATTCTCTAGAGAATATTTGTGAAGTGTGAAGGCCAATACTAAATGAAGACAAATAAAGAAATGCTGGTTTTGCTCTCTGCTCCATAAGCAGTGTGCGATTCCCTAGATGCATATATGTAGCTGAAGAAATAAAACTACTTAAGTACTCTTAGATTAATGCAGTTATAAATCAGGTGTACAAAATATTTCTAAATGGAGCAGCCTTGTCAGTTTGAATTTCCTCCTATTCTAGAGAGCTAAAGGATGGTATTTTTGACACTTGTGATGGTCCAAATATTTTGCTGGAGCACAGATGCATAGAAAAAAAAAAAAAAGTTCTGGAATTGGAAGGAGGAGGGAAGAATCCTTCATGAAATAATTGCTGTTATTCCCCAAGTGGATCTTCCACAATTACATTTGATACCACATTTGATTGCATGGAAATGGTTGGTTAACTAAACCAATTTTGTTTGCGATTGGGTTGCAATATTAATTGTACTTACACATGTATAAATATAAGGAATCTCATTTGTATTTTAACAAGGAGAATCTTTATGCATGGCCTATTAGCATCCACTTATTTATATGAAGACTGAAATTCAGACTTTTAGGAATTAATTATCACATTAAAAAGCCACAGGAAGAAGTCTTTCAATATGTATTATCTTCTGAGCAGTGGTGTTGTTTTATACTCTTCTGGGTAATAGTTAATTCCCTACATCCTACAGTTTCTGAGACAGCATTTACTGCTGTCTGGGCTTGAAAGTGAGACAAAAGGTCATGGAAGTAATATTTTTTATTTTTAATAATTACACATATTTGGTGCATAAAAATGTAGTGAAGAGTTACTCAGGAAAGAAATGAAGAAGAAGAAGAATACCTGAGATGAAAGCAGTCGTCCTTCACAAAGGATGATCTGCAGAGGTGACACAGGTATATCTGCAGAGCAGGAGCAGGCATCTGTCATTGCTTGACCTCTTCATCAGGTTGAAGACTTGAGCCCTCAGGACTGTCTGGAATTTAGCGTGGATGTTACAACAGCAGTAAAACATTAAACACATCTGCCAACTTTAATACTGCATTCTGATGGAGCAGTATACATAGCATATTWTATATCTTTTGAAAGAGAATGTCTATCTCTTAGGCATTCAGGGATATTCAGGGATTTTGGAGATGCTTGGGGAACCAACTAGATTYTTATTTTCCTCTCATGCCATCATAGAAAGGATACAGCTGTCCTGGGTTGAACCCCTAATAGTCCTCTTGAGGGCAAGGAGTGAGGGAGATGATAGTCCTTAGAATAGAGCAGAGCGCTGGTCCCTAGGGACTGAGAGGTGCCAAAACCTTCCCAGTTCAATGATCCATAATGAGTTATTTCATCAAAATATTTATTCATCAATCATAGCTTCACAAAATGCTCTGTTCCAATTGAAACCAACCAACCAACTAACCAACCAACAAACCAAAAAACTACAACAACAACAACAACAACAACAACAAAGAAAACCACCCAAATTCCATTGATTTTTGATTCATTTTGGGTGAGGGCACATGCTTCTAAAGCATATGTGACTTGGAAAAAAAAAAAAAAAGCATGCAGCATGATTGATTTGAATTGACAGGCAGATGGTCAAGGTCTTCGGGAGGATAATATTTCCTTCTCCGAAGGGCTGTGTGCCACCTTCACTTATGTGGCATATAGTTGTGATTTGTGCATAATTTAAATGAAATGTGCCATATATCTCACTGCAAGGATGTGAAATCAGCTTTTGACTGTCAGTGACTGTATGCACTTTGGCATCTTTTCACTCCG